CTAAAGGGAAGAGCAGGGGCAGAGGGCTTGCCTCACTTTTGAGGCAGAGGGAAGGCCACCGTGGCCAAGCAAGACAGGAGGGGAGAGTAGTAGGAAATGAGATTAGAGGGCAACAGGGAATCTGATTAGCAAAGGAAGGGCCTAGGGGGTCATTCTAAGGACTTTGGCTTTTACTCTCAGTGAAAAGGGAGCCAATGACGTGAAGTGACTTACATTTTAATGGGCTCCTTTTAGTCCTGAATTGAGAAGCTACTACAGACCCATGAAGGGCAACAGCATGGTCTAGTCATCAGTTAGGAAGCTAGAGCAATGATGGAGGAAAGAGAATTCTCCAATTTGTCTTTCAATTCTTTCAGTAAGTTTTCAGTTTCTCTTTCGTCCTTCAAATGTTCTGTCCTTATCGCCTCCATAGTTTCATGGATATAATAACTTCTCTTACGGTTTTTGGTTTTTTGAAGTTTTTCTTTCATGCCTTTACTGTCTCTGATCTTTTCGGTTCCTTTTTCCTTATTTGCTCTTATTTCTGTTTTTCTTTTTTTTTGGCCAAGCCACTTGGCTTGCAGTATCTTAGTTCCCCAATCAGGGACTGAACCCGTGCCCCCTGCAGTGAGAGCGTGGAGTTCTAACCACTGGAATGCCAGGGAAGTCCTTGATTTCTGTTTTTCACGTTAGCATTCCTCAAATATCTGATGATCCTTGGTGGTCTGCTAATATGTGGAAAAACTAAAAAGCACTGTCTGTGTGGGCAGGACTTGGAAACCTCACTGTGAGATTATTTGGTTGGGCCGTTTCATTGCAGTATCTTGACCTGGTCAATTTGGCCAAAGAAAAAGAAATTGCTTTAATCATGAGTGGGTACATTCAACAAGTGAAAAGCTGCTGAGATCTAATCATTAAAAACACACATCTCATGAGGCTTCTCACCCCTCATCTATCCGAGCCACTCTATCACCAAGTCCTGTCAGCTTAACTCGGGTATAAATCTCTCAAATTTATATACAGTTGATCCTTGAACAATGCAGGGGTTGGGGGTGCTGACCCTCACTCAGCACCATCGAAAACTCACATTTAACTTATAATCGGTCCTATGTATCCATGGTTCCTCTGTATCCGTGGTTCCGCATCCACGGATTCAACCACCTGGGGATCCAACCAACTGGGAAGTGTGTAGGATTTACTATGGAAAAATAATCCGTGTGTAAGTGGACCCGCTCAGTTCAAACCCGGTGTTGTTCAAGTTGTACTTCTATCCATCTCTATCATCATTCCCCTGGACCAAACTACACTTTGCTCACCAGGAAGACTACGGGAGTCTTGTTCACCTACTCCTAGGATATCCTTCAGTGTCTGTCTTCCACAACTGGCCAGAGTGATCTTTACAAAGTGCATTTTTTAGTCCTGCTCCCTTCCTTCATATCTCCCCCCCAAACTACTCCCACCGATTTTTAAAGTCTAGTGGCGGTCCTTACTCTTAGAAGAGAGTCGCATGGGCTGCCTACCTTTGCAGCCTCCTCCCGCCCCCGGTCCCGCCCCCAGTTCTCAGCGCTCCTGCTCTCCTCTCCGTTGTTCACACCACAGTCCTTTCTTCTATGGCTGTTTGCTTGCTCCAACTGTTTCTTTAAGTAGGGAATGCTCTTTTTTCCCTCTCCCTGTAGTTTCGTCTTACTGATGCCTCAGGGCTCACTTTCAACATCAATTCCTCAAGGAGAGGTTCCTAATCTTCCTTAAAGCTTTACAGACCTGTGTTTTGTTAGCATCCATCACAGCTGTAATTTTATAAGTGTGACTCTTTGATTAATGCCTCCCCCGTTAAAATGCACACTTCCATAAAAACAGGTGCCTAATCCTTTCCCTTACCATGTATTCACAGCACCCTGCATAATACCAGGCACATATTATACGCCCTGTAAATATCTGACAAATGGGTATATACGTGAAGGCAGAGAACTGCAACTATTACCACCTCCAGTGTGTAAGTCACATGAAGAAGGTGACTGCTTTTCAAAGGCATTTTACAATGCCAAATTACAGACTGCCTTGAAAACTGTGACCTTAAAACATGCTTTTTTACTTCATCGTAATCAGGACAAAGAAATCAGCACACAAAATACATTTCCAGACAAACACACACACCAGTTTTACAGAAAAAGATATAAACATTCACATTAAGGTCTGGGGCAGGTGGGGGGCCGGGAACAAAACTCTGTTGTTCATTTCAGGCCAAGAACATAAAGTGAACCTACCTACCAGAAACAAAGAAACCAAAAATCAAACAGAATAACAAAAACAAAGCCATAGCTAAAATTACTTATGCAAATACATAAATATCCAAGAAAGAATGACCAAATAATGGATCTTGTTGTAACATAAAGAAAAGCAAAATTGACAGTATTTTCTATATGCTAAAGACTATATAAATACTGCTTCATTTAAAAAAACTTAAAATTGGACCTAGTAAATGCTACCAAGTATCATCAATGTTATTTACCATTTACATGTTCTTCCAGCTTTAGAATACTTTATTTCAAAGGGAAACTTTTTTTACCTGTAACTCTATAAAGATAACACGTTCAAGCATCCAAATTCAATTGTGCTAAAATTCACGGAAAAGGAAGCACCCGTGCTTTTAAGAAGCTTCAGAGTGAGTCATGAGGACATGTTTTTAGAAGATATAAACGTCACTGGAACCCAACTGTAGGAAATTCGTGCAAAGGCTTTATTCATTAAACTAATGAATTTCTCTACAGTATGTGCCAGTCTATATACCAGATGGGGAAAACACAAAGGTAAGTATCAAAACAATCAGTACAAAATTTAAGAGTTCTAAAAGAGAGATAAGGTATTTGGAATACCTGGTCTTTATGATTTATAACAGTAGAAGAACCTGAAATCTTAACGTAAGCTTTTCTAGAATTACTTTATGCGTGTGTGCACTTTCCTATCAGGATTATTAGCAGCTTCAAGGATGCAAATACACGAAGACAGATTTAAAAACCCTGACTGACATCCACGGTGTACGCTGAGTGTGTTTTGTCAGGTCCACAACTGGTGTGGCAGGGTTTTTAAAGTTTTTCTATGTACTTCATGGCTCAATTCCACTTTTCAATGCAGTGGCTGGGGCCTACGGATAAGAAGATGAATGAGAGAGTCCGTGCCCCACTGCTGACCACGGGCCATGCAAAGAAAGGCGCGGGTAGTAGCAACGGTGCATCATGTGATAAATGCAACAGCACAATGGACCCACTGCTATGGGAACAACAAAGAATACCAGGACAGGTAGGTAAGGAGTGTCTACTCCATAGAAAGGTGGGTATCATTCACTCCCATGACTCTCTCAACATACCTAACATTTCGATGTTTGAAAACAAAATGTCTGCATATTTACATAGTGCAAGTGACACTGTTCCTTCTATTAACCTCCCGTGAAACCTCTTCTGCTGTTTTGACAACAAAATCATTTCTTAAATATCAATCATAAAATTTAAGGTTTAAAATATTTTTATCTTACTATCTTTTATATTTGACACATATAGTTTGATAGAATTTATTAGTTTTCCTAATGTTAAAGAATAGGGTTGGTGATAAAAATAATAATTGGCTTGAAAATACATTGCTGTATGTGAATTGGAATTGATTTCCTTTTCTGGAAATTTATAACACTTGACACTAAAATGAGTCAAATGATGAAATCCTCACAGGCAGGAATTAGTTGTTTAGGTTCTGTAGTTTACATTTGCTTTTAACTTCTTCCTCTCTACTTCAGGAGGAAAATATATAGCAAAAGCTGTCAGACGAAATGTAACAAATCAGTATGGTCTGTACTCTTACGGTTGTATTTTATAGCTTTCCCTGTTTAAGGAAAGGTAAGTATGTTTCTTTCACTAAATCCACTAGCTGGATGTTTGCCAGCACAATAAAAGTGAATACAGTAATAAATAATGAAATAGATCCACAAAACTTAGCACTGTCAGTTCAGTCTTTGGTACAATTTATACAATTCATACTTCTTACAGAAACAAATAAAGTACTTTAACAAGTACAAGCTGAAAAAGCACACTGAGTAATCAGGAAAGTGCAACAGAATTAAGAAACATCAAAAATATAATTATATATTTTCTTCCTTTAGTCCAACATCTAGCAACTCTATGTAGGCGTACCAGAAATGTTTAATAAATGTACAATAATGAAAACGGCAATGATGATGATGACAACAGCTAAGATATACTGGGCATTTAACTTGTACTAGGTACTGCTAATTGTTTAATATTTAAGCCTGACAACAATCCTAAGAGCAAGGCACTATTATTAAACCCTATTTTAAAGACATGGGAGAAGAGGCTGAGCCATGTTAGGAAGTGGCATGGTTGGGATTCTAACGAAGGCTGTCTGACTTCAAGGCTCTTAACCACTCAATTGTGGAAAAACAAATATTATAAAGGCTGGGATTTAGCAACAGTTTTGTTGCAAGAATTTTATAACAAACATATTCAAATGTATTTAATCTATTTCAATATTGTAATATTGTATCTACTAAAACTGTAGGAAATATTCCATCCTGAAAGAGCAACTGACTTGTATACCACTGAACTATTAATAGATTTTAAAATGCTTTTTCCTAGATGTTATAACTAAAACTATTTTATATCACGTTAGATTCTTATCCTCTCTGCAAAAGAGTAAACCAAAACATTTAATTTCAATTATTTTCACCATGACACAAGGTGATTTCTGAAAAAAATCAAGAGCCAAAGTTCTAAAGTTGGAAAAGATAAAGAAATTATAAGTAAATCATGACTGATTTTACTGAAATGATTCCAAAACCAAAGCAGCACAACAGTACGTCCTTTAGTATTAACTTTTTAGATTTTGAAACAATCCACTTCACAGTGGGAATACACTGAAGTCTGTACAAAGATCCAAACTAAACATGGACTTATATTACTTGTTTGCCTGATGTCATACTTACAAAAAAAAAAAAAAAAATCCTGCAATAAGCATACCTTGGCAAAAAATACGGTGAGGTGAGTTTCACTGCCAACAATCCAAATAGGGAATTTTGGAGATTTCAAGTAAGAACCAACCTAGAACAAATGTAGCAAAATAAATAAACAAATGAAAATTTTATACTGCCTGTTAAATATCTGCCAACAAATATATGAAGCATGACTGACGTGTCTAATTCATATCGAAAGGGAATAATGGATTGTGCCAGAATGCCTTACCCATAATGGTCAAATGCTAAGTGTAAAAAAGGAATGTTATAAAGACTGTCAGGGCTAAGTTTTTACTACACCTTTCCACTAGAAGAATAATACAGATTTAACACAGCTAAAAATAATTAGTTTAGCTCTAAGAATCATTCTCAGGTTTCACTAAAGATCCTAGATAAAATGACCACTTCTAGAATTTCAGCTTAGTACCTCAAACCCTAAAACTATAACCTTGACAACAATTATCAGGAAAATAATTATAAATTAACAAGTGAGTAGATATATGAATAAATAAGGGGAAAAACCTTAAGAATATTCTGTCTTCAAAGAACCTGGGGCAACACAGTAGTCTCTCTAAAGCAAAACACACACTCCCAAACATTTAAGAATATAAAAGAATCCTGTCTTTGATTTGATTCTTCATGGTAGAAAGTAAATTCAAAGTTTTACAGTATTAAGTCTCTTTAAAATATGTAAGAAGTTATACTTTATAGCCTGCCTTCGAGGTTATATATTTAATATAAAAACGACAGTACCCCAAATTTGAGAGTATCATTTTTTTGTGCGTGACCGAGGAAAAAAAAGCTTAAAATTCAAGACTTGTGAACTCGGATCACGTTCACATGAATCACCCACACTCGTAGATGGACAAAGACTCTGACAACTAACCTTACCAATCACACGTGCTGAATTTTCTTTTCTCACACAGACTCCCTAGAACTGGAAAATTCCAAGTGGCTGCTCGCAGCAGTCAGGGCCAACCATTCGCCCCTAAGCAGCCAAAAGCCCTGCTCTGGTGCCCGGCTTTCAACCACCCTTTGGAACTGACTGCTATCATTAGGCGGGAAATGGGAACGAGGCGGGTACTCTTTTGTATTCGGGGATCGTAAAGCTAGTATCTTTGACCTACGAGGACGGGGAGGGATGAGCGGATGTGCTAACAGCAGTGGTGAACCAGCAGAGGAGGAAGGATGGTTTGAGGACAAGAGAAAAGTGTTAACAGCACGAGGACAAAGAAACAGGAAAAGCTCTGGTCACAGTTCAGAGTGAAGGGATTTTAGAGGTGTTCAGTGCAAGGCCTTCCACTTTACATAAGGAAGCTGCAAACTCCACAGGACCCGTGCTTGGCCGGAATTCAGACAGCTAACTAGTACAGAGCTGGGGTCAAAGCTCAGGTTTTATAATTCCTCATGTGGCAGCTTTCTATTACATCACGCTGCCTCTTGCAGTGAAAAGTTCAGGTGCTGTTTAACTTCTCCTTTAGAAAAAGTGTGTGTGTGTATATATGTGTGTGCGTTTAAGGTAGAAGTAAAACATGAGGATAAAATTACAAACAGTGGGATCAAAGGGTAAATGAGTGCTGAGCTCACGAAGTGTCTGTAATAAGAAAAATAAATAAAAGAAGGCATAAATGGAGCAACCACTTTGGAAAACAGTTTGACAGTTCCTCCAAAAGCTACGTATATAACTACCATATGACCAAGTAATTTCACTCCTGGGTATACACTCAAGACAAATAAAAACATGCTCACTAAAGACTTATATATTAATGTTCATAGCAGTATTATGCGTAATAGTCAAAAATCAGAAACAAGCCAAATGTCCATCAACTGATAAATAGAAAAATGAAACTGATATATCATACAATAGAATATTATTTGGTCATACAAAGGAATGAAGTACTAATACGTGTTAAAACATGAATGAACACTGAGAACATTATGCTAAGTGAAAGAAGCCAGACACTAAAGGCCACATACTGTAGGATTCCATTTAAATGAAATGTCCAAAACAGGCAAAACTGCAGAGACAGAAAGTTGCCAGGGGCTGGGGAGGAACGAGGTGACAGCTGAAGGGTTTAGAGCAGGAGTCCCCAACCTTTTTGGCCGGTTACGTGGAAGACAATTTTTCCATGGACTGGGGTTGCAGGGGAGTGGGGGGAATGGGGGCGGGGGCGGATGGCTCAGGCGGTAATGCGAGCAATGGGGAGCAGTGGGGAGTGGCAGATGAAGCTTCGCTCGGTTGCTCGCTCGCCTGCCGCTTGCTTCCTGCTGTGAGGCCTGGGGTTTGGGGACCCCTGGTTTAGAGGATCTTTTTGGAGAGAGGAAAGCATACTGGAATAAGATAGTGGTCATAATGGCACAGCCCTATGAATATACGAAAAACCACTCAATAGCACACTTTAAAATGGTGAATTTTATGCATGAGTTATGTATGAGTTTTTTAAAAGGTGCACAGCCAAAAGCACTGAGTCACCTTTTATCTCGCGCGCGTGCGCACGCATACAGGGGCAGGAGAGGGAAAGAGAGAGAGAGACACCTAGAGAGCCCGTGAGAGAGACTGTTTCATTTGTCTTAATGAACACATATGAGCAGAATGATATGAAAATGTTAATTTCAATTCTAAAGGGCAATTTGCTGCACTATCAAAGAACAGGGAGATGTTCAGATTCACAAAACTAATACAAACACAATTATTCCCTTAAGGCCATTTCTCTAAATAAGTGAATGTATATATATTTTCAGAAGGATATCTACAGTTATATACAGATGAGCACCAGAGTGTAAGAGAGAGTGTTTTTTTGTTTTTGTTTTGTTTCTTTAATGCTGTCTTAACTCAGCTTTGAGGCCCTGACTGGGGGCTGGTCAATTCCCTTAAAAAAGACAGCTCATTAAGTCCAAACCCCAGACACCTGACATGTCTCCTCACCCCAGGCCACTCTGCATGGCCCTAATCGCTCTGGAGTCAGGCCCCAGACAACAAGGGACAACTCCCAAGCCCAGAGCTCACCCAAACTATTCAAACCAGCCAGGTCACAGGGAGCCCAGGCAACCCAGCTAACTCCATCCCAATTTCCACACGTAAGCTGCTCCCTAGGGCTGCAGCCTGCTGTTGCCTTGTCCCCAGGTATAATTCTCTTCTTGGCCCTGCCTGGTAGCATTCTCTTGTTTGGAGCTGTAGGTCACAGAGTTCTGCCTTTCATCTATCTGAGTATCAGTGTGCTGTATCCCACCATTAAAAATATCTTTAAACCTAGAAAACACCATAGTTACCGCTAGAACACTAGAGCAGTAACACTAGGTTGGCACTAGAGCAATAATACTGGAGTAACAGGAGAATATACAGCAGCTAATGACTTCCCACTAAGATCTTGGGGATAAAACAGACATTCCTCTGTTCTATCTAACAGTTAAAGAAAAGCAAATGCACATATTTAGAAAATTACAATTCTGGTGAAATTGTCTGCTCATTCATTCAACAAATATTGACTGAGCATCTAATATGTACCCAGAAAGACAATGTGCCTGCCTTCAAAGAGTTCATATTCCATTAGGGACAACAGAAAAACAAATTCAAGATTAAAAAAAAGATAACTAAATCAATAAAAAAGATCACTGCAAAGTGATTATTCCTATGAAATAATGTGAAAGAGTCACTGAGGGAATGGTCCAGGAAAGGGTCTCTGAGGCACAGTCTGAAGTAGAGTCTGAAGGAGAGAGTGAGCCATCCATTTAAGAGCTGGAGTATTCCACGCAGAAATGAAGGAAGTACGAAGGCTCACCAGGTAGGAAAGGGCCTGGCGTGTATGAAAAACTGACAGGAGACCAACGTGGCTGGAGCACAGCAATGGAGAGAGTGCAACGCAACTCTGGAAGGACAGACAGAATCCAGGCCATCAGGGCCTTAAGGCCACAGGGTGAAGATTTCAAAATATATCATCATCACACCCTATCTGTCTGCAAAACACACACCACACAGTTTTTAGAAAACAGCTTCACTGACATATCTTTGACATACAAAAATTGTATGTATTTAAGGTGTACAACTTGATACCTGGATATATGTACACACCGTAAAAAGATCACCACAATCAAGCTAAGTAACATATCCACCGCTTCTGTGTGGTCACCATTTTTTACGTGCACACACACTTTTAGGAATATGAGCGTCTGCGGGTGTGCTGGGGAGGAGACGCAGTTTGATTCTCCAGTCGCTAGGCTGCCTCAGAATAGCTTTGCCTTGTGTAATTAAAGTCACTGAAAATATAAGAGTTGCTACTGTTTGACAGTACAATTACTACTAATGAATAAGGGCAGGATGACACCTATTTGATTATCATATCCTTGTCACCCCTGTCCAAGTGTTGTCATGAAAGAGGAATGCTGTCTGGTAAAAAAGAAAGGGAGGGGAGGAAGGGAAGGAAGGAAGGAAGGAAAAAAGAAAGAAAGGCACTGTTATTGTTACTAAAAATAATCAACCACTGCTATGGAACCACCATTCTAAAATGGAAAAGAATATGAGAGCTACTTCCTTCTTTCCCCCAAATCAGAACATCTTATTAAGCGCAAATCATTAACGATTTAAACTCCATTTAAAACTATTTGGAATATCCAATAGTTATTTCAGAATGTGCAGGAAAGCTATGAAATATATATCAAAAAATGAGAGTTTCATGGCAGTTCCTAATTCCAGCACATGTGTTAAAGAGTTTAATGCTGTGAAGTGCTTGGATTTTGTTTTTTAGTGTGAAATCAGTTTTCAGATGAAAAAGACAAGTTAGAATTTCAGGCATTTAGCAGATTCTTTTTCTTTGCCTGATAAAGTACTATCAGTTTTTTCAGCGAAGCATACTGTTAGTGAGGCACAAACAGGGCATTCTTCCCCCTCAGTTTCCCCAAAACTATATTTATATTTGATAACGGATATCTGTTTTTATAAATTATTTCATGCTGGCTTCTGCCCCCGACCCTCAAAAAGGAACAAGCCTCAAAAAATAAGGAGACTCAGCATGATCAGCCAGCTTAACTCCATCCTTGATAAGCCTGTCAGTTCAGGAAGGGTGGCCAGAAAAGAACTGAGAGTACACACTGTCTGTAGTAAGCTAAAATATGTTGTCCCACGAGAAAAATGCTCTCTGCAACAGTGGACATGTGAATAAAAACCATTCAAAGTATCTTAAAAAGCAACTTACCTTACAGTATCTTAATGCTTCCATCAGTGTTAAGAATCCTACAGCTGCTTGTTCATGTATACCAAGAAGTTCTGCAGCAAAAAAGTTAGCACTGCATTAGCATATAAATCTGAAAAGCACTTCAATGTAAATATATATATATACTCTACATCAAAACTTTTACTTTTACCCAAAACTATACTTTAAAGCTCAGCATATATTTATTGTTAGGAGTTGATTGCTAGGAGTTCACATCAAGTCATCGTGACAGTGCTACTCATTATAAAATACCATTAAATTAGGTAGTGGGTAATGTGATCCTTCAGATGTACATTAAATGTATTTATAAAACTTTATATTCAATGTTAACTTTTGATGGACATTTGATACCAATGCTCTCTCCCATAAACAAACACAAGCAGCATGCTTAAGACTGGGGAAATAAGGATGAATAGAACACAGTAACTGCTTTACAAAGGCTAAGAGCTTATCAAAGGAGGCAGATGAAAAAACTTGTGCTCTCTGTTTATATGAACACACACATCTTATAGTTGTATTAAAGCATCTGCTTACTGTGTTAGGGAAGGCGTACACAAGTGGTAACATCTGAGTTGAATCTTGTAGCATATGTAGGAATTTTCCAGGCCAAGAAGAGGATAAGAAGAAAATTCAAAGCAGAGGAAATGGCAAAGAACTATGATAAATCAATGTATCTAAGGGGTGAAGAATTTGTCAAAGCTTCCTTAAAGGTTTCTAGCCTGGGGAACTTGATAAATGGTGATTAACTAAGGGAAAGAATTAAGAAGAAGTAGGTTCTAAAGTGGCGTGAAGAGAGAATATGAGTTTGGTTTTAGACAAGCTAGGATTGAGGCGCCATTAGGACTTCTAGCTAGAGATGGATACACAACTAGAAGTAAGGCTCAGGAACACGGAAGAGAAATTAGGGTTGGATGTAAAGTTTGGGGAATCACCTGCATAGAGATGAGAGTTGACATCATGGAAATGGCTAAGAAAGAATAGAAAAAGCATAGAAAATGAAAAGACAGATTATTCCACATCAGAGATGTAACTGTGATGGTAATAAAGTCTTTTCAGACTACAGCTTTCAGCTGAAGTACATCAAGTACCACTATAATAGTAATTTGGGTCCACACATATTTCTAAAAAGCATGTTTTTTCCCGGTTAAAAATTATGTCCACTGTAAACACAATGTATATATAACTCTACATCCTTTTTACCATCTGGTTATATATCATCCATTTTCCTATTAGGATATTATGTTTTTCTTATCAATTAATGTAATAATATCAACGTATTTGCTTTTGTTGTAAATAGTTTACTGTGTGTCCTGAAGTACAACATCCAGATGGTATTAACCAGGAACTTGTTGCTTAAGCTTTAAGCTTGGTAAATTCAAAATTAATAGAAGGCACGTATACATAGAGTTTGTATTTTTTCACAAACTTCTTACAGGCAGAGAAGACATAGTGATAGTTCCCAAATTTTGGTTATGATCCTTAGAGATGCCTAAGTCCCTTTTAGAGACTACATGAAACCGAAATGATTTACATGAAAAGACGTTAATTGTCTTTTTCACTCTTACTCTCTCATGAGTGTATAGTGGGGTTTTCCAGAGGCTAACTGATACGTTATTTCCCAACAGATTGAATCTATAAACAGATATGAGAATCCAGCTGTCTGCTAATAAACTAGACATTAAAGGGACTTGCAAAATTTTAAAGCAATGTCACTCTTCTTACGAAATTTTTTTCTTATTTGGGAAGATAGTTTAATTAAAAATATTTATATTTAAAGTAATTTTAAAATGAATGCATCTTTTAAAATTTCTCAGTCTTAATTTTTAACAAAAAACCCAGTGATTATTATTTTCTTATAAACCAAACAAGCGAGAGCTTTTTGGGATCCTCACTATATTTAATAGTGTAAAGGTCATGAGACCAAAAAATCTGAGAATTGTTGAATTATAGCCTTCAAAGGAAAAAGAGCAGCCCGAACAGGCAGCGATGGTCCTCCACAGCCTTTCGAATTTTTTCCTCCTCTTCCTTCCAAAATGTAAGCAGCACTAAATGTTTTCAAGTTCAAAGAATACACGTTAAGAAACATTTTCACACTTTAATTTCTAAAATCAGTTACCACCACCTAGTGTTACAACTTGATACTACATCATCTATTTCCTTAGAATTGTAAACAAATGTCTAGAATAGTACATTTATAATATCATGCTACTAAATATAGCAAATTAGCTGTTCATAATTCTTGAATAATGAATTGTTCAGATTAGGTCAGTAATCACATGTTTAGGTATGTTGTTTGGATGGTAGCTTTTTAAAAATGTGTTAACTCCTATTTCCTTAAACAGGACATGTACTTATAATTTTTATCTTCTTTTGATAGCTAAAGTGCATCATTAAGAATATTTATTGTACAAAGTTGTAATTATAGTGAGGATACACTACCCTCATATTAAAACTTAAAGAATTTAGTTATAAGAGACTTCATAAGTCTCAAAGAAGTCTGCTTACATTTGCAGAAAATTCTAATAATTAAGTCATTACATTTCAGAATTTTCTGTCTAACTTCGTTTTCTTAGCCTAGCATTTAAGACTAATCATGGTGATTGTCTACCAACCTTTCCATTCAGTCAGTGGCACTGTACCTAAATGCAGAGTTTTGTATTCCTGAGTTTGCTTTTCTATAGCCTTCTCCTCCACTCCCAACTATCACTTCTCGCTACTGTCAGGGTGTCTACAGAAGTCCTTCTTGGGCCTTTCAAACTTGACGCTGACTTGGAAAGCAGATAACTGCACTACATTTATTTAACAAACATGCTCTGGGTGCCGAGTATGAAAAAGAACAATGCTAAGCACAGTGCAGGAATACAAAGGTACCAATGGGAATATGAAGACGAGGAAGCAAAGAGCCTCTCTGCAAACCATGTATCTGATGAGGGGTTAATATCCACAATATATAAGGAACTCCTACAACTCAGCTGCAAAAGACCAAATAACCCAGAAAGCAAAACAAGACGCCAAAACAAAAAAATCTGGGCAAAGAACTTAGACATTTCTCTAAAGAATACATAAAATGGCCAATGGTATATGGAAAGATGCTGAACATCACTGATCATCAGAGGGGTGCAAACTGAAACCACAATGTTAGGCTAACCATTCTCAAGAACACAAAAGATAAATGCCGGCGAGGGTGTGTAGAATCTGAATCCTTGTACACTGTTGGTGGGGATCTAAAATGGAAAACAGGATGGAGGTTCCTCAAAAAAATTAAAAATAGAACCACCATATGATCCAACAGTTCCACTTCGGTGTATTTAGTCCAAAAGAATGAAATCAGGATCTCAAAGAGATATCTGCATTCCCATGCTCACTGCAGCGCTGTTCACAATAGCTGAGAAACTGAAACAACCTAAGTGTCTAGCAACAAATGAATGGATACAGAAACTGTGCAATATCCATACAATGGACTATTACTCAGGCTTACAAAAGAAGGGACTCTTATTATATGTGCACATGTATGAACCTCGAGGACCTTATGCTAAGCGACATATGCCAGTCACAGAAGGAGAAATACTGCATGATTCCACTTAAACGAGGTTTCTAAAATAGTCAAACTCCTAGAAGCCGAGAGTACAAGGGTGGTTTTGCCAGGAGCTGGGAGGAGGAGATGGGGTGGGGAACTGCTGTTCCACAGACAGAGACTTTCCGTGATGTAAGACGAATAAGTCGCAAAGATCTGCTACACAATCTTGTACCTACAGTTAATACCAAACTTAAAAATTCGTTACAGGATAGATCTCACGTTAAATGTTCTTACTACAGTTAAAAAAATTCAACCCCTCCGCCCCCTCCAAAAAATCCAAAGTAGAATGTGGTAAGTGCCATGAGGGCAAAGTGCTCAGAGGCAGGATGGATGACCTGCAGCTGTGGGAGTCAGGGAGTGCCCCGGGGAAGGGAGGGCACACGAAGTGCGAGCTGAAGGACTGGACAGGCACAGACGCGAGGGATACAGGTCTTCAGGCACAGGGAGCGGCATGAACAAAGAAATGAAAGCAAGTAGCATGATTCTGTTCAAGCACAGGTTCATGATGGCTGAAAACTTAAGCTGGGGTGAGATTATGTAGGGTCCTTGAGTAAGTAAGGTAAAGAATCTATAGTTAAAAATATGGAGGAAAAAAGAAAAAAAGGACTTGAAGGATGTTAGAATACCTAAAACAAAAAGCAATACAATACAGAAAAAGGCTTGGTTGTCTCACTTATAGGTAAAGGTACATGCCATCTGAGCCATAAACTTTGTGAAATCTATTTTTGAAGTGAGGAGCTTTTTAAAACCCCCTTATTAGCTGTCTGTCGAATTGCTGAGAAGTCAGGTCGCTAGAGAATTGGTGTCTAGCCAGGGTTGCCAGATCTAGCAAATAAAAACAAAGATGCCCAGTTAAATATAAATTTCAGATACAAAATATAATTTTTCAGTATAAGTATATTCCAAATACTGAACGGGACATACTTACACTAAAAATGATTGTTTACTTGAAATTCAAATTTAAATGGGAGTCCTGCATTTTGTCTGGCAACTTAGTTCCAGCTAACTTAATATATTTTTACAACTAATAGAATTTGGAGAAAAGGAGCACTTCTGACCTTTCCTCACATAAATTCTGATAAACCAAATACATTTCAAATTTGTATAGCACCTGGCCACTAACTGCAATTCACATTAACTACTTAAAAATATGAAAATTTCAAAATGATCTTAATCTTCAGAGTTTAGATTCTCGTACTGTCTATGTATCTTGAGTCTATCAGCTTTCAATTAACTATGCCTGGAAGGACTGCCATAGTGATTTATATCAAAAGAAAAAAGAAACGAAGAATGTGGGTTTCTGATTTATAAGACCTGACTCTCTTTCAATCCCATAAAATGAAGAAAACATTAAAATAAAAATAATCATCAAATAAACATACGAAAGCAATAAATGTACAATACATACAAAAAGAGAGGGTACGCAAACGCTATGGGATTCGTTTATGAAAGAAAGGAGGCCATGGGAAGACTGAT